TCCAAAAAGGCTTTCAGAAAGCGGAAACTATTCCAAGGAGTAAACTGTTAGAATACAAATATAAAAAGAAAAATAAAAGGACTCCATGTGTTCTTACTTACCACCCATCTCTCAAAAACAGTTTCGGTGTCATTCGTGAGCATTGGAAAACAGTTGAAAAAAATTCCAAACTATCCAAGATTTTTCCCGAGCCTCCCATGATAGCTTTTAGGCAACCCAATAGTCTGCGGAACCTGCTGGTGCGGGCTGAAGTGTCTGATAATAGAATTACACTCAAAAAAATAAATTACTTGAATTTACTTAAAAAAAGTATTTATTTTACTCATATCAAGTTAAAAAAACAAGTAAAAATGTTTGTCAAAAAATGAGTAATTGCTAGTAATGCCAAGTAATTACCTAGTAATTAAATGTAAGTAATTTTTCAATGTATCTTAAGTAATTCTTTTAATAAATACTAAGTATTTTTTTTTCTATTTATTAAGTAATTCTTTTTATTATAGTAAGTAATTCATTTAATACACATTAAGTATTTCTTTTAATTATAGTAAGTAATTCCTTTAATAAAAGTAAGTAATTCTTTTAATTAAAGTAAGTAATTCTTTTAATACACTTTAAGTATTTCTTTTAAAAATAGTAAGTAATTTTTTTAATACATATAAATATTTCTTTTTATCAAAGTAAGTTATTCTTTTAATACACATTAAGTATTTCTTTTAATGATAGTAAGTAATTTTTTTAATACACATTAAGTATTTCTATTAATAATAGTAAGTAATTATTTGAATATTTCTTTTAATACTCTTAGTAATTCGTGTACTACTTGTAAGCCATTCTTTTACTTATGGCAAGTAATTTCTGGAAGTACAATTACTTGCAACAGTAAATTTATTTGTAGGTTTTGAGTAATTCTTTTACATATAAATTGTATATTTATGTAATATATTTACAGATTAAAATAAAAATTCTACACTGTTTTATTATAAATGCATATAATTTGAAAAAGTAACATACCTTTTTAAAGATTTATCATATACTATATCCTTTGTTATAGTCCATTTCTATTCTTGTTTGTTGTAAGTTAACATGGGCTACCTCCCCAGCATCTCTTTGTGTTACATTTTCATTTAATTGAATTAGTACACAAAGAATAGCCAGAAACATGAATACCCACAAAGTGTCCTTTTTGTGAGGTTCTCATTTCCTTTCATGCTTGTCAATCGTGCAAGTATTTCAACAAACTCAGTATACGTTTTGTTCAAATATAAATCTGAATGAGTTCCAGCCAATTTTCAAAAATAGCTTACCAAAGTCAAATGAAACCTTAATTCTGATTGGCTGAATATTTTTTTCAGTCTCAAATCAAAAACTGCTTATTAAATACAGGAAATATGATACAATTTTGTACATTTATAATAAATATTTAATTATCAATTTTAGTAAGACTAAGTCATGTAAGTAAACATTATAAAAATTATATCAAAAATTAATAATGATAATTTGAAGATATTTTGATATGAAAATAATTTAAGTAATGACTAGTAATTATGATACTTAGTAATTCCAATCAATTGTTTTAAGCATTTCAAAGTATTATCTAAAAACAGGCTATTATTTCAATTTGGAATATTTTTAATTATGGAATTTGCATAATTTCTTGTGCTTGAAATTTTTAATGAATTCCATGTTTATTCTGCATTATAATTTTTTAAGCATTGCATAACACTTTCCATACAATGTTTTTTGTATAGATAGTGTTGTGCGCGGCACAGTACATTCTATTGCAAATATGCTATCTTCTTTGTAATAGAAAGTGTTGTGCACCACGCAGAACATTAAAATACAGAATAAACATGGAATTTATAAAAAATTTCAAGCACAAGAAATTATGCAAATTCCATAATTTAATAATTCCAAGTTGAAATAATAGCCTGTTTAAAGAAAATTGCTATAATAGTTATCCAAATTTATGCAATTTTCAGACTGTGAAACCTACATATGTTGAAATTGTTAAATTATGGAGTCAAATTTCATAGGAAGCATTTATTATTATATATAATACGCCTTATGCAAGCAAACAAAATTATGTAGTGCCTAAGCCTACTTAGTAATAACAAGTTTTATATTCAAGTTATCAGAAGTAATTCCAGTAACTTTCATACTGCATAAGTTATTACTTAATTAAGGACTAAGTAATTCATTTACTCAAGTGAGTAAAATCATTATTAGTATTTGTTTTAATTTGAGTATTTTTTTTAATAGACACACATTTTCAGTAAAACAAATACTTGTTTCAAGTAACTATTTTCATATCTAGTAAAATATAAGTAATTGCTAGTAATAGTGAGTAATTGGTATGTAATAAAAAAGAATACTTAATTTAAGTAAAATATAAATACTAAGTAATTTTTTTTTTGTGTGTACTTCTGGAGAATGTCGTTCGTGTGATGAAAAACGCTGTAAATGCTGCCTACAGATGCATCACTCATCAACTTTTCACAGTAAGGCAACCGAAAATAACTATAGGATATTTTGCAATGCTAACTGCAAAAGTATGAATGTTATTTACATTCTAGAATGTTCGGTTTGTGGCCTCCAATATGTTGGTGAGTCAAAGCAGCCTTTCCACAAACGCCTCAATGGCCATAGGAGTGATATCTCTAAGAAGCCACTTCTCCCAGTTTCTCAGCATTTCAGACAGTCTGGTCACAAACTTGATGACTTTAACCGCATGAAGATCCTAGTGATTGAACAGAGCATTCACTGGAGTGATGCCCAGCGACAGGTTCGGGAAAGCTTTTGGATAAAGGAACTAAATGTACATCATCCAAACGGCATAAATAACAAATACTAAGTTTTATTTTTCACTCATTTTTGGATGTGAACATACACAGTCACGTATATTTGAGTATTGAGTTTTGTTTTATATTATGATGTTCAGGATTTTGGATTAAATCAATAGACCAAAACTTAACTGTATTATTGAGCTATTTTTATACATATAATCAGTATTGTTAAAATAATTGACACTGAAGAAGGCTATTTGTTAAGCCGAAATATTTGTCAACACGATTTAATAACAACATCTTCGTATTATACCATCTTATATAAGTATCGTTGTGCAAATCTCTAGACTTATATAATTTTTTCCTTATCTGCACAGTATCGTCTATTCTAGACGATCCGGTACATAGCAAATTTGCTGGTTGGTCCTTTTTATAGACTTCTATATATATACAAGTCTAAATTAAAAACAACGTTCAAACATATATATATATACATATAATTCGTTTCAAATTTAGCCCAACAATGTTGAATCATCAAATTTGCGTTAACAAATTTTTGTTCTTCCCTTAGCGGGATTCGAACCCTTGCGTCTGTGACATCGTTACACCACCTGCACCGTGTCCAGCGCCCTAGACCACTTGACCACCTAGGCTACACAAAAATATATCTTTCGGTGGTCGATGTAATGCCTTTTCTCGTCGGCTTTATCTAGGGTTGTTACACAGTACATGATGTATAGTGGCAAGTAGATGGTTTACTTTTCAGATCAGCTGTTTTGTCTGTCGTAAAGGATAATAATGTGAATTACCATGCCGCCACATCAAATTTTAATTTTATTATACAGTTCAGTGTATGTTCACTTGTTTTTGTTAATATGTGTTTTGATTGAGTTAAGCCATTTCAATTGATATTTTATAGTTTGTCTTTCTATGTTGTGATGTTACACTATTGTTTCAGGTAGGGTGAAGGTTGGCGCCTATTAAAACGTTTAAACCCGCTGCATTTTTTTGCACCTGTCCTAAGTCAGAAACCTGATGTTCAGTGGTTGTCGTTTGTTGATGTGGTTCATAAGTGTTTCTCGTTTCTTGTTTGTTATATAGATTAGACCGTTGGTTTTCCTGTTTGAATGGTTTTACACTAGTCATTTTTTGGGGCCCTTTATAGCTTGCTGTTCGGTGTGAGCCAAGGCTCCGTGTTGAAGGCCGTACTTTGGCCTATAATGGTTTACTTTTACAAATTGTGACCTGGATGGAGAGTTGTCTCATTGGCACTCATACCACATCTTCTTATATCAAAGTAGGTGTACTTTTCAGATCAGCTATTTTGTCTGTCGTAAAGGATGATAATGTGAAATACCATGCCGCCACATCAAATTTTAATTTTATTATACACGTCTAAACATGTGACAACTTTATGACAGACATTCTCCATCGGATAACACGTGGTTATACAGGGCTAACACCATATATATATATACATATTTCGTCTCAAATTTAGCCCAACAATGTTAGATCATCAAATTTGCATTAGCAAATTTTTGTTCTTCCCTCAGCGGGATTCGAAGCCTTGCGTCTGTGACATCGTGGCAACACCGCCTGCACCGTGTCCAGCGCCCTTGACCACTCGACCACCTAAGCTACACAAAAATATAGCTTTCGGTGGTCGATGTAATGCCTTTCCTCGTCAGCTTTATCTAGGGTTGTAACACAGTACATGATGTATAGTGGCAAGTAGATGATGTACTTTTCAGATCAGCTATTTTGTCTGTCGTAAGGGATGATAATGTGAATTAACTTGCCGCCACATCAAATTTTAATTTTATTATACACGTCTAAACATGTGACAACTTTATGACAGACATTCTCTATCGGATAACTCGTGGTTATACAGGGCTAACACCATATATATATATATAATTCGTCTCAAATTTAGTCCAACAACGTTAGATCATCAAATTTGCGTTATATATATAATCTTGAGATTGTGTATTTATGTATTAAAGATGGTTAAAACGCATTCCTTAATATACGAAAATCAAATAAGCAACTTGATAATAATTAACAATTTAAAGCAGAGGCCGAGGCTAATATTCCTGATAAAAGCGATGCAGCAGGACTTAAACTTAGATTTGTTTCTGGTAGGTCATTATCTTGACATTTATTCTTATTTATTTCAATAACACCGTTAAGTATATGTTTATTAAATTTGATTTGTAGATACAAGACTGAAATAATGGGTTTAAACCCTATAGAACAGGATTCTTTGCTAACTATTTCGTCTATTACCACTGATGACTTTGGTGTGTATGCCTGTAGAGTGTACAATACTATTGGATCTGCTATGGCTATTCATATTATACAAGGTAATGGTACTTTATCTTTTAAAAATTGTAACTTTTGATTTGTTGTATACTATTATAATGATCACCAACCTTTGCATTCTATAGTGTATTGACAAGAGGAAGGTGCTCAGCTTCCATGATTTTCTCAACTATAAAAATAAGATGTGGTATGGTTGCCAATGAGATAACTCTCCACCAGAGACCACACGACATAGAAGTTAACAACTATAGGTCATCGTACGGCCTTCAACAATGAGCAATACCCATATGCACATTGTTCACGTTTCACATATGTTACATAATTGCTTTGCATCACGGTACGAATTTATTAGCTTCATACGATATTCACGTCATCTTGCAATTATTACAAAACAAATATCGGTTCTCCTTGGTTGCCTTATAATGTTGGAATAGTTATGTTTGCTGGCCTCATATCACAATTAATTTGCCCTAACATTCTTTGTTAAAATAATGAAATAAAAAAAAACTGCTTCAAACAAAATGGTATTTGCTTCACATGAAGATCATCCTTTTCTCAGGAAAATATTACAATGCTAGAAAAAATCCATCTCTTCTTTCTTCCATAACACCTCAATACACATCCATGGGGTTCACCTAACCAAAGAAATAAAAGTAAACACCAAAAATTTGACCTTTGAACTAAAGACAATTTGAAACTTTTACTTTCAAATATTCAAGTTTTGGGTATCATAACAATTCATTCAAACGTTATTCTACCAAAATCAACAAAGAAACACTCACTTTTTCAAATAAAAAGCACAGAAAAACTAGACAAAGTGATGCCCCCGCCCTCCACTCTGAAGTAACTGTATTATAACACAGTCAATGTAGGACTTTCTTTGAGATATTATTGTGTCTGGGAGACGCAAATGATGGCCCCGCAAATGCAAAGTGTTATTTTAAAATACACAAAGTTGAGCATGAGAGCAAAAAGGTCTATGGTTCACTATAGGAGGAGTTATCAGGAAACGCTATGGACCTCTTATGCAAGTATATACTCCAAAAATGTCAAAGTTCAGCTATCTCCCAAAAGAGCAAATATTAATAAAAATCAAAACCCTGACCACATGCACACCTTCAATATATGTACAAACAGCCAGCAAAGTGAAAACTTCCTAGCATTCAAACTGTAGGAGGAGTTATCCGTAAACGCTATGCACCTCCTATGCAAGTAAATACTCCAAAAAATGACAAAGTTCAACATTCTCCCAAAAAAGCAAATATTAATAAAAATCAAAACCCTGACCACATGCACACCTTCAATATATGTACAAACAGCCAGCAAAGTGAAAACTTGCTAGTATTCAAACTGTAGGAGGAGTTATCTGGAATAGCTATGCACCTCTTATGCAAGTATATATAATCAAAATATGACAAAGTTCAACTATCTCCCAAAAGAGCAAATATCAATAAAAATCAAAACCCTGACTACATGCACACCTTCAATATATGTTCAAACAGCCAGCAAAGTGAAAACTTCCTAGCATTCAAACTGTAGGAGAAGTTATCTAGAATAGCTATATACCCATAATGGGACGGACGGACAGGGTAAAACAATATGCCCCCAACTTTCAGTTGCGGGGGCATAAAACCTGGGAGAAATTACATATTTTTACTGTAGGAACCACGAGCAAAGGGAATTAAATGTGGTCTGAAGCCTATTTGACCAACTTTTTTCATCAAGTCCAACAAAATTTTGTACCGACAAAGAAAAATGTGTTTCGAAGAAATTCACCAACTAATTTGCAATTTCAAGACGTATGTCATACACTTATCCGGGAATTACCCTTAACCCGGAAATATACCTTTATCCCTTTACCCTTAACCAGGGAACAAACATGTTCAATAATATTTTTTCAACAAAGCAAAATTTGTATAGTATTTTTTAAGATAAGATTTATAGTAAACTAATAAATATTTTTCGATAGATAGTATTGTGATAATTTTAGAAAATGCACAAATATTGAAATAATTCTTATTTGTAAAGGGAGAATTCATTCAAAAAATTGTATTTCATGGAAAAGGGAGACAACTGCAACGTATTACTCTTAAAGGGAAACGCGTTTACTCTTATCCAGAAAATATAATGTTTTACTATGGACTAATTGTTTGAAAAATATTTTACCACAGAAAGGCATATCCAATATTGAATCAACTAAAAATTAATATTTTATTTCCTCAATGATCTTGCAGTTTTGAAGTTCGAAATAATTTTCTTTTTGTATCATTAAGGGAACAATCATTTGATTTTGTTTGAGGGGGTGGGGGGACAAGGCATGAAGACTTTGAAAATTAATATCCTGGCCTGGTAAGAGTAAACAATTAATACCTTGCATACGAAAGAATGTAAATGAATTATCTATAACACAAAATGCATAAGATCTTGTATTAATGAATATTCATGCTGTCTCTATTTCTTTATCATAGTTTTCAAAATAAAAGGAACCCCCCCTCCCAAATATCAAATGGTCGACCACTAAACGGACAGAATAGTTGTGCAAAGTTTTGAGATGTAAATATAGGAATCACTCTTAGTTTCACAAATACTCGGTCAAAATTGCTTTATTTCAGGAGGTCCTTAAGTATTTCAGGATATCCTTAATATATATGGAGCACGATATTTATATATTCTTTTGTTTGTGTTTTTGTTCCTGAAATTTTACCAACAAGGCCACCATGGCTAAAAAATAGAACATGGCAGTAATATGAATTAATTGTCTAATATTTAGAAAATAAATCAGTCATGCGCAAAAATGCTCATAAATTTCAATTCTACTTATTTTCTCTTTACACCAAAATAATCAGATGGCTCCTTATTAGAGTTATTGCCCTTACATGACGATTTTGGACTTATTTTCATAGTTTTTCCTTTTATTTTGAAAAATATTATAAAGAAAGAGAGACTGTAGACAGCATGAATATTCATTAATACAAGATCTACAAAATACTTAATAGATAAGTCGGAACTTAAAAAGGATCAGCAATGCAAGAGATATTTTTGACAGGTGAGCGATTCATGCTCTTAGGTAGCTTGCAATTTTAGTTAAATGAAAAAAAAAACTCTTATCTGATAAATGCAGCAACATATTTTCTCGCGAACATATGAGACAGACTATATAGATGCTTCTGAATACTTTTAACCCGGAAATACAAGTTGAATACTTATTTGACGGAAATACGACCAACAGCTGTTTTTGCAGATCTACAAAAAATACAATTACTCCGCAACCACCAAGCCCTCGGTCTCCTAAGAAAAGGCTCACTATAAATTGAGGTGGCAACCAAACAACTTTTTTAAAATTTCTGTGGACACATCTCACAAATCATTTTACGTTTAGAACTCACAGTCGTGTGGACAGGCTAATTCTTTTCGACCCCTAAACTTCGTTTAAAACAAGTTTAAAATAGGAAACACTAAACATAAATATAGATAAGACTATGTTATACTTATTTAAAGTATACCCTCATTTGAATTAGTCTGGCTTTAGTCTGCCATTTTACTTTTAATGTCAGTACTCTTAACCCGGCAATATTTTATGAAAGAAAAGTATGTTTCAGAGAAAGTGTGTAGTTGCTGCGATGCTGTTGGTTGTATCTCCTTTTTTCTGGGATGAAAAATTGTAAACTTGCGAATCGGCTAGCATCATATAAATGAAGAAATAACGCTTTGAAGTGCGCCATGAGCTGTGTGGACAGGAAAATTACTAAATACTTCCAAACTTGTTTTCAAGACATGTAAAATTTGACACTGTTAGCAGAAAAAACGATAAGACCATATTATTATTGTTCAGATCATACCTTCTTCTGAATAAGTCTGCAATTTTACTTTTTATGTCGCTTATCCCGGAAATATGATGTAAAGTGAAAATTTGTTTAGCAGGGAAAGGGGTGGTAGCCTGCGATGCTTTTAGTTATCTCCACTTTCTGTCCAAATATGACACAATACTGTTTCTTATATTCTGTACAACTACTCACATCATACCTTTTTAAATACTTAAACTTCTAAACGGACAGTCGTGTGGAAAGGAGGATGCCTATTTACCCTAACATTTGCTTGCAAGTCGTATAAAAATACGACACAATTAAAAAAAATAACGATAAAACAATGCTATATTTTATATAAGACTTACATCCGAATAAGTTTGAAAAATATAGCCTGCAATTGTACTTTTTATGTCGATACTCTTATCCAGGAAATATGTTATGAAGTTATATAAGTATTAGTCGCAATGAAAAGGATAGTAGCTCCAATGATCTCAGTTGTTTTGAAAAAAATGACACAATACTGTTTTTTTTATATTCTGTGCAAACTACACACATAAACTATATTAACGTTCTAAAAGAAAAATTAATAGAACAGAATGATTCCTATATATCCAAAACCTTGTATCCAAGACTAAATCAAACGATTAAACACTACTATAATCTTTTGATTCTACCTTTATCTATAAGTTGGTTAGAAAAAAAGCCTCCCAATTTTACTTTTTATGTGGTTACCCTTATGCCGGAAAAAATATTTGTCAAATGGAAAAGGATTAGTAGATTTCCTCAGTTGTCTCTCCTTTCTTTCCAAAATAAAACAATATTGTTTCTTACATTCTATGCAAACTGTGCACATCATACTTGTTAAAAACGATCAAAACGGACAGTCGAGCGGACAGGATGTTTACAGTACGCCCGAATCTGCTTTCAAGACTGATAAAAATACGACACAATTAACGTCGGTACCCTTATTCTGTGAAAAGTGCTCACATCATACATTTTTAATAATTTTTACTTTTTAAACGGTCATTCGATTAGACAGAATATTTTACTTCTTTACCCCAAACTGTGTTTTCCAGACACAGTAAACAGAAATAATGACTAAACAATGTTTTATTTTTTAAAATTTGACCTTTTTCATGATTACAAATTATTGTAATTTTAAATCATATGTCGGTACTCTTATCCCGGATATATGTTATGAAGGGTAAATATGTGTTCGGGAAAAAGTGGCCAGT